TGGTTTTAGGAGTTAGACACTAGAAGGAGGGAGACCTGATATATGGGGTGACTGTCTGGGACTCATAGTGTTCTTAATAGGATAAATCCTGAGTCAGTTTGAATGAGAGGATTGGGGCTGTTGCTATGGTCCATGCCGGTGATGTGGCCTGATAGAGAGTGATAGAGCCGTGAGGGAGAGGGAGCCTTTCTGAAGTCGGATGCAGAGGGACATGCCATCTGATGGATGCGGAGCCAGGGAGACACGGGAGAGCCTCGTGTGCCTGTCAGGAGATGGCTCCTGAAGTCATTTCACTGCTCAGATGTCGTGCCTTCTGTTTTGGTTCATGACTAGGATGTATAGCTCGACTGGCACACTCACCCACAGGCTATTTCCTCCTTTCAAACCTGCCTGTGATGCCTCATGTCTTATGCTATTGAGTCTAATGAGGCTTGGATGGATTGGCTTGTATCTTCTTTGTTCTTCTAGGGCCTGTAACATTGCAGTTAAGACATTGCCAGGTGCCTCTTATCTAAGAGGGTCAGGATATTTGGGGGGACAGTTGAGACATCAGCTGTCCAGCAGTCTTCTTTATCAGGAGCATGGCCGGGCACCTCTAACTGACTGTCCAGCAAAGATATCACAGTGTCCATACCTTCCCCTGCTGGCTGCCTGCCTGACCCAGTCTTTAGCTGGCAACTCAATACTCGTATTTTATACATGGTTTTAGTTATTTTTAGCTGCTGTCAGATCTGAAGGAGCTGCTACAGAAAGACATGCCCACTCAAAACCACTGGTTGTTGGTCCTTGTGAAAAGTGATGGGTTGAGCCCCACCGGGTGTGGCTAGTGGTTGAGCATCGATCCAGGAACCAAGAGGTCACTGGTTCGGTTCCCAGTGAGGGCACACGGCTGGATTGTGGGCTCGATTCCTAGTAGGGGGTGTTCAGGAGGCAACCGATCAATGATTCTCTCTCATCATTGATGTTTCTATCTCTCTCTCCCTCTCCCTTTCCTTCTGAAATCAATATTTTTTAAAAGTTGATGGGTTGAGATGGGAGGAAGAAAAACCAGGCGGCGTGGATGCAAGGCTGGAGGGTAGCCCTCTCTACCCTGCTGTGTTTGGGGACAGCTTGCTCTATGTGTCTTAAAGTAGATGGAGCATCATGGGATTCCAGAATGGTGATCTGGACTTAGTAAGGTTTTACGTTTTGTATATTCTGCTTTGGAAGGCAGGGAGATACTGGCATTGCTGCCCCAGGTCTGGATGCCTTTGCTTTCCGGGAAGGACTTACTTGGTGAGGACTTCCTGTAGCTATTCCCCTCCAGACTTTGTGACCTCAGTGTACGCCAACACCTAGAATAATGGCTGGAATTTGATGCACAATTGGTAAATATTTGTTGAATGAATGGATTCGTCACAGAGGGGGAGACCTAGTTGACGGTGAGCTGACAAGGAGTGGCTTCTAGTCTGGTCACAGTAATGGATCACCTTTTGTAACCAATAGACAGCACTTTACACAACAGCCACACAACTGTGTTTAGGGAAAGAGCCTTGGAAGTAGAGCACCCTTCCTAGGTGCTTGTTCCTGGGATACTTCATCTGAAAAGATTTTAATGAGGATATTCTCATTTTCAGCCTGCCGCTTATGAAGTATCAGTCTATTGTTGGTGCACAGCCCATCTGGAAGGTCTGTTTCTTGGCCCCAGACCCCATACACATCCCTTATTCATCTTTCCTTTCCTTTCCTTCCTTCCTTCCTTCCTTCCTTCCTTCCTTCCTTCCTTCCTTCCTTCCTTCCTTCCATCTGTGCAGCAAACAGACATTTATGGAGCTGCTGTGTGCCAACCAGACACTGCTTTGGGATGGAGGAGAGGTGGTGCTCAGATGAACACGGCTGGTCCTGCCCTCAGGGAGTGTTCAGTCTGAAGTCAGTAACAGGAGCACAGGCAACTGCGGTGCAGTGTGATAAGTGTGTATGTGATAAGCGGGGGTGGGGAACAAGCTGCTGAGGAGGGAATGTTTGGGCTAAGCCTGAGATGACAGTTTGTGGGCTTCTAGGGGCTGCCCCAGGTGGGATGTCCTGGCTGGCAGTGCAGGTGAGTTCATTATCTGGAGCCTTCTCAGTGTTGAGAGTGTCCACCCTGCAGACTGGGAGCAGTGAGAAGTGGTGGGTTCAAGTGCTGTGGCCTTGGCCCTGCTGTCTTCGTCCCACCCCTAACCCACTGGGACTCTGTTCTGAGGACCCCTCTATTTCAGTCCTCATCATTTTTACCAGCTTCTTTTGAGGGCTGGAAAGGGCCATTGGGAATTCTCTCTTCCAGCAGAAGAGACCAAAGGACATGCTGGATGAAGGGAGCTGGGTGGGGGAAAGTGTTTCTAAGTGAGTAAAAATAGATTTCCTATCCACCAGCCCTCTGTCTGCCACCTCTAAGTCCAGCTGAGGGTCTACCAGCAAAGGAGCCCGTCTGGCTTGGCAGAAGGCACTCACCGCCCCGAGACGGGTTCTTTTCCCAGCAGCCACCTTGAGCTCTTTCTAAATTAAGAACCATTTTAGAAACACATCAGAAAAGCAAGACTTGGAATGACCTAGACGGAAACTTGGGCTGACCTCCCTCATTTGGCATGTGTAGAACTGTGTTTTTTCAGCCCATACTCTGTGTGTGTTAAAATTACATACCGAACGGTGGGGAGGAGGTTGGCTATGGGGCCAGTTGCGTGTGGTGGCCCTGTATACTCAGGGCATCACTTCTGATTTGCAGCTGCAGGAGAAGCCCAGGATGGCCACAGGATTTGGGGGAATTATGAATGGTTTCAGGTCACCTTTAGTGGTACATCTGGGCCTAGAGCACGGGTCTCTTGCTCCCTCCCAGCCCAATTCGTATATATTTTTTATTTCAGAGAAGAAGGGGAAGGGAGAGAGAGAGAGAAACATCAATGATGCTAGAGAAAATCATTCATTGGCTGCCTCCTGCATGCCCCGCATTGGGGATCGAGCCTGCAACCTGAGCATGTGCCCTGACTGGGAATCAAAATGTGACCTCCTGGTTCATAAGTCGACACTCAACCATTAAGCCACACCAGCTGGGCCCGGTCCAATTCTTTTTGCGATGTTCTGCTGCTCAAGCTGTATTCTAACTAGTTTTATCCCGAGGAAACCTGCTAATGAATCATTGGCACGGTGGAACACAGCTATTCTAGTTTTTGCAGATTTCCTGTTTATATCGAGTGATCCATGAACAACGTGTACATATTTCTATGTAATTGGAATCACAGCTTCTTCTTCCTTTCTAGTCTACTTATCGAATGCTGGTAGTTTAGAACATTGCTCTGTATTTCTTGCCATTGGCAGTTGGATCTAGTGCTGTGGAGAGAGAGGCCAGGGGGGCGAGATTCTGTGTCCGGGGGTGGGGCGTTCTTTACCAGGAGGTACGTAACAGCTGGTTGTCTCCCGTTGGGATGCTAGTATCCACTGGTACCCAATGCTTAGCGCCTGCCAAGTTGCAAATTTGAGATATTGCAGTTCTTGTATTCCTTCTTCGTTTATTTGTTGGAAATAAATGAAAAACTCAGCCCATCTACTATTTACAAAAGCTTTATTGAGATTCACACACAATACAATTCACCTGTCTGGAGTGTACAATCCAGTGGCTTTTAGTATATTCTTAGAGTTGTGCATCTGTTAACACAATCATTATCTTAGAACATTTCATTAACCCCCGCCGTCCTCACCCCCCAAAAAAACTCTACTCACCTGAGTGGCCACCCCACAATCGCTGCAGCCATAAGCAAACCCTACTCTGTTTTCTATCTCTAGATTGACCTGTTCTGGACATTTCACGTACTATGTGGTCCTTCATAACTGGCTTCTACTTAGTTTTCAATTTCCAGGGTCCATCCACGTTGTAGCATGTGTCAGAACTTCATTCCTTTTTATGGTGAAATACTGTTTCTGTTTTGTGGATAAGGCCACAGTTTATCCATTCACCGGTTAATAGACACTTGGGTTGCTTCCACTTTGGGGCCATTATGAATAACGCTGCTCTGAAGGTTTTTGTACAAGTTTCAGTGTGAACATCATGTTGTCATGCTTTTTGAGTATAGACCTAGGAGTGGAATTGCTGAGGCCAATGGAAGCCATGTTTTACCGTCTGAGGACCTTTTAGGCTGTTTCCGAAAGTGGCTGCACAATTTTTCATTCCCAGCAGCAGTACCTGAGGGTTCCAGGTTCTCCAAGATTTGTTCTCTGTCTTTTTGATGATAGCCATCCAAGTGAGGGGTCTCATTATGGTTTTGCTTTGCATTTCCCCAGTGACATTGAGCACCTTTTCCTGGGCTTATGGAGAACTCTCTTTCTCCATCCTTGGCTCCTTCTGTAATGGAGTGTTTGCTTTTCTATTATTGAATTGCAATAGTCCTGTAGTCTAGGTAGAAATCCCTCATCAGACATGTGATTTGCCAACGCTCCCATTCTGGGTTGTGTTTGGACTTTCTTGACGTCTTTGTGTCCTTTGAAGCACCCAAGCTTTACATTTTGATGATGTCCAGTTTATTTTTTTTATTTTCCTGCTTATGTTTTTGGTGTCACATCTAAGAAACCATTGCCTAATCCACGGTCATGAAAATTCACGCCTATGTTTTATTATGTTTTATCCTGAGAGTTTCATACTTTCAGGTCTTTGATGCACTTTGAGTTAATTCTTGTATATGTGTCATCTACTCTTTGATTACCTAGGGCTACAATAAAGACAGAATCAATGTTTGGTCTCCCCCCCCGCCCTTTATTTACCAGTTTTCAAGGTGTTGGTTCCCTAATATCCTTGTTTGGTGGGTTTTTGTTTAGATTTAATCATGAGTTTGTATCATACTACAGCCAATTAAAAATTTTAAAATTTTAAAATTTTGCATCCTGTGTCACATACATATATATGCAAAATACAGAGAAAAGTGATTTTTAAAAATCTTTTTGTTTCTTACCCAGCTGTCATGTCCTAAATCTTCATCTATCCACTTGCTTTCCAGAAACATGCCAAAGGCCAGGACCTGTTTGATCAGATCGTGTACCACCTGGACCTTGTGGAAACAGACTACTTCGGCCTCCAGTTCCTCGACTCTGCCCAGGTCGCGGTATGTCTTCCTTTGATTCCTTTCAGGGCAGATCATCTTTTCATTGCTAATCACAGATCCACAGCGGCTAGAAATTGGTAGAGGAACATAGGAGTGAAACTGTGATGTTGCCATGACGAGCATTGGGATGCTGGTGATGGTGCTCCAGTGAGATGCACTCACGATGCCCCACTCTTGAGGTGGCCAACAACCGGGAGAGGAAGAGGGAGGGAACGTTTATCTCGCGCACGGGGATGCATTAGGGAAGCACTTCCACGTGTAGGGATGCAGTGTGGGCACATTTCTCGAGTAGGTAGACACCATTGTGGGAATTCTTCCGGTGGAGCTGCTTCTATTTTTAACCAGCAGAAGGGGCTGCACCACCATCCTCTGGTGCAGACTTGCTGGGCGTGGAGAGCAGGTGCTGTGAACAGGGCTGAGCCCCAGCCAGATTGGGGCGGGGCAGTCGGAGCAGGTCTTGGCATTGCTCGAGAACCATCTTGCAGGCTCCAGGAGGTGGTGTTAGGTCAGCAAAGACTTCCCTTGCTTTGCCTGAGACAGAAGTGTTCACAGTGGAGAGGCTCACGCCACCCCTTAGAATCCCTCATGTAGAAAGCAGGAATGACTTCAGGTCTCCCTCCCAACAAAATCTAGCTTTGGGTTTCGAAGGTAATGTATTCAACAATCTAAAAATATTTAGTGAGTGCCTCTCCTGCATGGGCCCCATTCTGAGCACTTTGGATAAAGCAGTGAACACAAATATAAGGTGACAGGTAGTAATAAGTGTGAAGAAATATAAAGTAGAGTAAGGGATAGATAGGATAAGGGGCGGTGCTATGATAGTGTGTGAAAAGGTGGCTCTGCTGCTCAGGTGGCATGGCTCAGTGTTTGTTTGAGCATCGACCTATGAAACAGGCGATCAAGGTTCGATTCTCTGTCAGAGAACACACCCAGGTGGTGGACTCGATCCCCAGTAGGGGGCGTGCAGGAGGCAGCGGATCAGTGATTCTCGTTGATGTCTCTCTCTCTCTTCCTCTCCTTTCCTCTCTGAAATAAACAAAAGTATATTTTTTAAAAAAGAAAAAAAGGTGGGTTCCCCTGATAGGAGATGTTTAAGCTAAAAACCAAGAGCTCCTCATATGTGGTGAAGCCTTTCTACCCGAAAGACACTTTTTATTACATCTTGGGAGCCCCACGTGACGGTTGTAAAGTGAAGATGCTCAAAATCGATGCCTGGGAGTTGGGTCTGCCTGAGACTGTTAGTGTGATGCTGAGCGTGCAGATGATACAGTGGAATCAGGACTTCAGTCTATCCTAGTTACAGTATCTCTTTGAGCTAGTGGTCCCGATTCTTCTCCATTTCCCATCTGCAGACTCTCACTCCAGCCCACCAGGGCCCCGGGGAGGGGCAGACCAGCCCTTCTCTTTCCACCTTCCTGCCCAGTTCCCCGCTCTCTGACCTCAGCAATGTTCTCCCCATCCCTCAAGGCTCTGGCCACCTCAGAATTCAAGTTGTTGATCCTTCTAAATATTCTGGACACTGTTTCCTCTCATTGAAGCTTCATCTGACCAAACCTCACCCAGAGGCACTCTGGGTCTTGTCACCACTCCAAGATCCGGAATTCTGTTGTTCCCCATTCCAGGATCACTTCCCTTGATTCCATCTTTCCAGGCCCTCTACATCTGGCCTCGGCCTTGATGATCCCCTCCTGCCTCATTCTCCCCTCTCCCGGCCGCCCGCTGCCCTTGCCTTCTTTCAGGCTTGGCAAAGCCTCGGCCATCTCACCTGTGTCCTCCTGTGCCCTTTGATTCTCCTGTCCCCATGACTGTCCCTGGAACCCCTTTGACATTCAGGCCCATCTGTTTGCTCTGCTGCTTCTCCCGATTGCCAAGCATTGCTGGAGAGTCACGGCTGTGCCTGTTGGCACCTGTTGGCACCAGCACAGATCACAGTTTCAGAGAAGTCCAAACCCCCGAGCTCCTTCTGGAGCCTCATTAGCCCCTCATGGACTCTTTCCCACCCCTAAATATGGTTTTTTATTTTTTATTTGAGAGAGAGAGAGAGAGAGAGAGAGAGAGAGAGAGAGAGAGAGAGAGAAACATTAATTGGTTGCCTCCTGCACACACCCCAACTGGGATTTGAACTCACAACCAGGGCATGTGCCCTGACCCGGGAATTGAACCAATGACCTTTCAGTGCACGGGCTAACACTCTAACCAACTGAGCCACACCTGCCAGGACCCCAATGGACTCCTATATGCCCCACAGTTCCCCTTCTAAATCTTGATCACAAACATGTAATCCAGTCCCCATAAAACTTCAAATTGGCCTTACCTCCTCCTGAGAAGACTGAGCTCATTTCGCTCAAATTCCTGGGTTTTTTCCCCTGAAGACAAACCAGTCCTCCTTGCCATTTTGTCTTAAGGGAGTAGCCTGTTTCTCCAGCGTTTTTTCCCCAAACCTACAAGGACAGTTTCATTTCCAGCTGCTTCTTCCTGAGTTCTGTCCCCAGCACTGGACGCTCGTCAGCTCTCCTCTTCCCTGAAACTCTTCTCTATTCTGCCTTCTCCTGTGTCTTTAACCTGTGGAATACCGTGTGGTAGCTTTGACTTCATTATATCTGTGGCCCTGGGCTAGCAGTCACACCTGGGCCTTGTTTCTGGCTCTGCCCCCGACTCATTTGGCGGGTTTTAGACAAGTCTTTGTTCTCAGTTTCCTTATCTGTAAAATGGGTTTCTTGGACCTAGTCTCCCAAAAGCTCTTCCCGTTCTAATACTCAGTGATTCCGAGTCTAAAGAGGAGGCAGGCACGTCTGCCCCACACATCTTTTCTTAATCAGAAGGGAGGAGCTCTCTCTCATTTCTGCCATTAGAGCCAAGTGCCCATTGCCCTGGTGGCACGACCTCCTCCCCAGATGACCCCTCTCCAGCCACTCGGATTCCCAGAAAGCCAAAGATGCGACTCCATTTCGAAAGACTTTACCGTGGACGTCTGCTCGCTTGGCTGCCAGCTGTCCCATCCTCCGGTGCCCTGTCACCGTGCGGCAGGAGGTGTGTTCACAGCGGGATCCAGGCTTCCTTCCCAGGTCAGACACGTACAGATGCTAGCTCTCTGCAGGCCCTAAAGCCTTTCCAGGATCCCGCTCTGTGAACGGATGTGATTTTCTTCCCCACAAAAGCAGGTACCAGGTCCTCATCTGCCCGACTCTAGGACCCAGGAGCGTGTGGCCCCAGCAGCCCCAGGCCCCTTCTGCTAATCGGTGTGATTTCTAACCTGGGCTCCTTATAGGCCGGGTGCAGGTCATGCCTGCACTCACTGCTGGGCCTTTGTTGGTGCTGGTTCCCCTCCTGGAATACCCTTTCTCACCCCATTTCAACTTCTGGCCACCCTTCAAGACCATCTCAGGCGACACTCCATCACGGAGCACCTCCTGAGCTCCCAGGGGGTTTTCCTCCACTGTGTGAACCGCTGAGCTTATTTTGCCTTCTGGGACAGCTTGCTCGTTTGGCCTGGGGATCTTATTTGTGTATATAAATATACAAAGCCTTTCTGAATAGACCCGAAGACGTAGGACTTCCTCTTCTTCGCCGGGTGGATCTTGGTGACTTACAGAGGTGTGCCAAGAGAACCTGAGAACCTCAGTCGTTAGACCCAGAAGAGATGTTAGGAGCCACGTATTTCCATCTTCTAGATCAGAGGTGGGGAACATCCGGCCCGGGAGCCGCATAAGGCCCGAGAAATCATCTGGTCTGGCCTTGCCAAGGCATTAGGTGCGAGTTAATGAAATGTTTGACCACATAGAGCAGGCTAATTTGTAAGTTGATAATTTTGTATGGCCAGCGAATGATGTTATAAATATCCAAATGGCCCTTGGCAGAAGAAAGGTTCCCCACCCCATTCTCAATGGTGCACCCAAAGCCTTAGACCTTGGCGAGTCACTCAGTGAGAAGCACAGCTTGACTCAAGCCCAGTTTTTATGTTTTCAGGTTTGAGTGCTCTTCTCGGCACTCTGGCTCTCAAGCCTCGGTCGTCGTCACTGTGGTGACATCTGCGTCACAGGGGCGTTGAGGGGCTTTGTGAACTAAGGGAACGGAAGCGGTTTTGTAATCTGAGCTGGGTGTGGGTTTGCTCTTCCTAGCTGGACATTCTGAAGGGGACCAGAAGTCATCACAGCCCCAGAGGTGACAGGCTGAGGTTGGCTGTCTCTCCTGGGGGAGAACCCTTAGCAATCTCCACAGGAGCCCTTCGGCTTCTGGGGTATCATTGATTTTTCTGAGAACCTGGGACAGTGCGGTTGGTGGCAGGTGACTGGATGTGATGGCAGGTGTGTTTCTGGGGACAGTGGGATAATAGATGGGGGCCTGGCTTATTACTTCATAATTGAAGCTCCTGCAAGGATCGACACCCGCCCCCCTCCCAGCCCCTGACATGCAAACCAGAGGTCTGGCCCAGGCAGAGCTCTTGGCACAGCTCTGAGTAAGTCACCAGCTCCGGGCCCAGCTCCCTGCAGAGCCAAGCCTGGTTTCCATAGTGCCCGGCCCAGCCCTGCAGCAAGGTCAGAGTCTATTGGCATCTCCTATTTTTAGCTGTTGGGGCTGGGGCCTCCTGTTTCCTTTCCCATGTCAAAGCGGGAAGTCCACCTGGGAATCCTCTCAGTAGACCTCTCTTTTAAACAGCTCCAAGCAGGGGCAAGGGTTCTGTCTTCGCATATCAAAGCTTTCTTGGGAGAGCCTGTACTATTTACTGAGTCCCCTCCCCCCCTCCCCCCCCTCTGATTGAGGCATCTAACTACAGGCTTTACGTAATTCATGTCTAACATTCTTCATCACTGATCTGTACAGCTGACCAGGGGACAGACCCATTTTACAAATGATGACGCTGAGGCTCAGAGACACTAACTTGTGAACGTTAAAGTAAGGGACAGAGGTGCCACTCAGAACCTGACCACCTTCCAAAGCCCAGCACTTTCCTTCCATTGCACATGGTAACGCCACACACACACACACACACACACACACACACACACGCACTGTAAGAGAACATTTGGTCAATAGCCGTTGAGCAAACTTTGACTTGGAGCTTACTCAATGCCAAGCTCCATAGTGCAGAGGCGAGCTGGACCCTGCTGCTGCTGCCACATTCTGGGGAGGGAGCCAGACAAGTGGTCCTGGGAGTAGCGTGGTTCAGTCCCCCACTTTGGAGCCTGGAGGCCGACCGCCTCAGCACCATGGATGAGATGAACAAGGTGTCCCAGGGGGAGGGTGAACATGGGTGGCCACAGAGGATGAGGGGACTGCCAGCCAGCAGAGGAGCAGCCGGGATTTGAGGGGCAATGACCTCCTCATCAAGCAGGTGCAGCCCTGCCCATCGCCGGGCAGGTGTCCCACAGGTGTGGCCATTGTCAGTCCATTCCTCAGCCCCTCCCAACATAAAAGGGGACGTTTTATGGTGACATGTTTTACAGCAGGAAGTGCAGAAAAGGTGATTTGGGCCTTTCTCTCAAGCCTTGGGAGGTGTTTTTCCTCCGGTCTTTGTAGTGTGGAATTGGGTAGGTGGGTGATGAGAGGCCCAATGCTTCGAGAGAAGGGTGAGGGTGTGTCATCGCTGGTGGTTGTCATCACATTTGCTACTAGGAGGGGAATTGGGGGAGTATAAACACTAAGAGCGGAGGAAGTCACTGTCCTTCCATTTGAATGGTTCCTTATAGTTTCCATGGACACCCAGCTGACTCTTCAGTGTGCCAGGGGCTAGCTCAGTGCACAGAGGAGGACACCGAGGCTCAGGGGGCCCTTGCTCATAGCCACACACCAGGTGAGTGGCCGAGCTGGGACCTGAAATGTGATCTGCCTCCTTCGTTTTAGTACAGGCACCTGTGCAGCAGCTCCGGAAATGGCGGGGCCGGTTTCTGAATGCCCGCAGGGCGAGTCTTCTCCTGCCCGGGTGCAAATATTGGTAGTGAATGGGAAGCTGTGGACAAATCCCCCAGGTCAAGTAGCTGGTGTGAATGGTGAGGAGGAGGAGGAGGAGGAGGAGAGATCCCTCCCATGGACGGAGCAGGCACTTCAAGCTGTGTGTGGTATGGAGACCCAGAGCTGGCTGCTGACTCGGCAGGAGTTAGACTCCCGCCTCCTCCTCGTTAGCGCTGTGATCCTGGGCACCTCATGCGCCTTCTCCACGGCTGCCTGGCCACCTTCATCGGCTCCGAGGCCTAAGAAAGAAGTGGATGTGATAGGGTCCAATGTGTTTTGTTTTCTTCCCACACCACCCAACAATGAATTCTGACACTGTCTGCCTGGAGGTAGCTTCAGATCTCGCAGGTTAAGGGCTCAGTCCCACAAGACATCCCCGCCAAACCCACACACATTTTCGGTGCCAATCACAAGATGTTAGGCAGTGACGTTCTACAGCCAGCCTCACGCGGGTCATACCCAGTTCTGTTGCACAAGTAGAGCAGGTGGGCCTTGCCAGGTCATCTCACATCAGGGTTTATGGGAAGGGTTTGCCCTTGGATGAGACTTGGGTGAGAAATTCACATCAAAAACCCCCTTTCTAGTACTCGTTTGAGTTTTTGAGTTAAATGTCTTGCCCTTTGAGCTCAGAAATGCACCTGTTTCCAGTGATGCTTTAATCGTCTGTTAAGAGGGCTGGAGCCAGTTGCCGGGGCCTTTGCTGACAGGCGGCCTGGATGTATTTAGCCAGGATGCAGGTGAACATCTGAGACAAGTCCTGCTGCTACAGGCCTCCGAACCAAACCCAGGGTTCGATTTACTAAATGCACATAGGGCCTTCGTGCCGGGTGTTTGTTACGAGGTAGTTTTGTGGCATAAAGTACCAGCGATCAGAGTCTGGTCAGCTCCCACAGCTAAGAAGAAGGTTAGGTCACTTTGAACTGGTTGGATACAAGATAGGTTTTATCAGCTCTCATTTTAGGATGGTGACTGTGTTTCCAGTCGCGTCTGAACGCCACAGGGTCAAGGAGCTTTGAAAAGGGAGCTGTTTCTGATGCCTTTCCCAGCTTAGCGAGCCCTGGACTTTTCGCAGGCCTCCATCCTGGCAGGTCCTGCTCTGGGCAGGGCTCCAGGCGGCTGCTGGGCAGGAAGGATGGAGGCCAGCCTGCATGGATAAGGGAGCTCCTTCAGCAGTGTGGCCAGAGGGAAAAGCAGCCTGCTGTCCAGTAGAGGCATCTAGCCGTGATCTGTCTGAGTTAACGCCGGCTGCAGACGGCTGGCCGGTAAACTGTGAAATTGAGATTTTGCAGAGCTCAGAGAGCAGTTTTCAGAAGGGGCCGTGGATGTGTCATGATCGCCAAGGTCATTCGGACCCATTCGTTCCTGGGCAAGGAGAGGATGGGGGAGGACTTTAGCCCTAAGTATTTAATGGGCACCTGGCACCTTTGAGAAACACGCATGCTCTGAGATTCTGTTTCAGGATCTTGGGTGGGACCTGGGTCTTTGTGAGTGTAATGCTCACCCAGGGGAAAACCACACCTACGGAAACGGGTTGGACTTGGATCAAGGTTAGGGTTGGATAATAGAGGAATCGTGGGCTTATACTTGTTCTGTCCAAAATGTGATAAGGAGACTTGAGATAGGAAAGAAATGGGGCAAAGCTCCTTTAAGCTCGGAGCCTCTGGGCTAATCAGCTTAGAAGGCTGGTGGCGGGAGAACTTCCTTGGCCTGGTAATGGTGAATTCATTTGAGAGTGAGAAGAGCAGGTTTAGTCATAGCCATTTGCATGATACTTACTTTGGCAGGAAAATACATATGATAATACTTTCATCAAGTCTGTATCTGCTCTCCTCCACGGGGCCAAGTCCAGGATTCTCAGCCTGGTGGAGGGCAGCAGCGAGACCTACTTCTAATGAGGCAAATGGATCATCAAAAACTGCCCGAGAGCAAACGACCAATGAAAGGATAATGCAAGTGTCCACCCAGCCCACCCCCAGGAAAATAATCTTCTTGGTAAAAGAAAAAAAAAATGCTTCAAACTCAAAAAAGGAAAAGAATAAACAGTATTCATATCCCTGTATCCAAAAATAACCCCTCGAAATCTTTCTGGACATAGCTCGACAGAAATACTAATTTTGTATAAATGGGGCCTGATTGTTTTCCTCTGACACTGTGCTGTGGGTCTCTTGCCACATCAGGAACTCTAGGCCCACATCAGTTTGAAAGGCGGAATAGTATTTCATTATATGGATGAGCCTTTTTTTTTAAATCCGTCTTTGTTGGTGGGCATTTAGGTCATTTCCAATTCAAAGCCGTTCACAATGAGAGTAAGCCTCCTGTACATGTGCCTGTGAGATAGCATCGGCTGCGGTGATCTGCTGCGTTTGTGACACGGTTGCTTAGCCGGGGAGTGGAGAGGGGAGTGGAGATGACAGAAGCCCATGTTCTCCCACTGCACTGCTCACGGCTTATTGTATTATAACTCATCTGATATTTGCTTTTGTGTTTCCTTATCCTGCTCCTCCCACACAGCCCTAATGGGCTCTCTGGTGAGGGCTGGAGTACACACAGTGCTAATTTAGCCCCGTCCTTGCTCATTGTTAGAATGTGCCCGGTTCAGATTGCCTCTGGAAGTCTGTTGACAATGGGCAGAATGGCCTCTGGTTCTGAACATCTGGTGAGAAACCCACTCTGGCTGTGTCCTTCCAGCTGATGCTCTAACCGTGTGCACCCAGTGCACGGGAAGTGATGGGGCAAGTTTGCCTCACTTAAAATAGGTTGGACATTTATTGATGTCTCGGGAATCTAATAAGGGCCGGCTGGGTGCCACGCTCGTCGCAGACATGATGACGTGACCCGATGGCCCTGCCCACCGGGGTTAGTTCCCACCGAGGGGCTCACAGTGTAACATTCCAAAAATGCCCATTTCCATGGAGGCTAAGCTTTCGAGGCTCATCGGGACTGCAGCCTCAAGAACTTTGTTGTTACAGAAAACTGTTCTGTGCGGGTAATCGTTTTGTAATTGCCTTGATGGGTAAGACTGAAGTGGTTGTTCTGGTAAAAACTAGAGGAAGTTGAATCGCCTTCATTGACCAGAGCAAACGTTTCTCAGGCAAGTCCCTGCCTGTCTCCCCATCTTCATTGTGGCAAAAGAATAAAGGGGTCATGAATTATGGATTTATAATTTTAGAGAGAGTAGGAGGGGGACGGGGTGGGGAGATAGAGAAACATCGATGTGAGACACATCGATTGGTTGCCTCCCACACGCACCCGGACCAGCTCGGGGGATTGAGCCTACAACTGAGGCATATGCCCTCAACTAGGAATCGAACCCAGGACCCTTGGGTCCGCAGGCTGATGCTCTAACCACTGAACCAAATCTGCTAGAGCTGGGTTTTATAATTTTAGAGTTTAGGGCGACAACAACAAGACCAGAGTGTGATCAGGGCGTCTCAGCAGTGCAGTTTATAGTCTTTACCAGATTAATAGACTTGGAATAATTAGGGAAGATTGATTGTAACTCGAGGAACTCGGAAGGAAGAGGCCATTGGCTCCACTGGCGAGAAGGGACTACACAGACCAGTTAGTTAAAGGGTTTTTTAAGTTTTTTCAGGCTCCTCTTTGAAAAGCTTCCGGAAACTATGGGCCCTTTCCCCAGGAAAAAAAAAATTCACTACGTGCATAAGTAGATTGTTTTTTTATACCTTCCCAAGGAGTTTGCAGATCCCCAGCCCAAGCACGCGTGATCCGGTCCAGCCTCTGGTCTTTACGGGTAGAATTACTATGGGTAGTGGAGGAGGGTAACTTGGGTCTGTATACTCTTGCTGATGCACTGTTCCTAAAGAAACATTTTTTTTTTCTTTCAGCACTGGCTGGATCATTCCAAACCCATTAAAAAGCAGATGAAAAGTAAGTAAGCCGCATTTGGCCTTCTCATCTATTTCTTTTATCGGGAAAGCAAAGGTGCCAGTGTTTTGAGGTGTTCTGTTTTCTCCAGAACTCGGGAGCTATTATTTAAAAAGATTCCATTTTGAGAGGACCATTTTTAATTTCTTAATTAAAAATTGAGAAATTAGAATTTCTGGCCACGTGTTCGAGTTTAAGATTTGAACAAGAGTCTTTAGTAGATATTAATAAAAACACAGACTGTGCTCTCATTTAAAGTCATACGCCCCTGCCAGTGAGATCTGACTCACTTGCTGCTCAGAAGCAGGACCAGACATTGTCACAGTCCTTTCTGATGAGCGATAGAGTAGACTCAGAAAATGGGGCGCAGGAGGGCTCTGTGAGTCAGGCCAAGCTCTGGGGTTACCAGTGTGGTCCCTACCACATTTATTCAGTGTTGTGAATGCACAGGTCATCTTTTTAAATTCCATGGTATTTAGATTATAGAACACTTGGCTGTTTATGTGTCACTTTTCTGTAGCCCATTAGTATTTTGTAAAAAGTTAATATCCGTGTGGAGCATCATGGGAATCAGCAGGGAGAATGAAATGTCAGCTCTTAGTAATTCCTCTTAGATCAAGCATGTCAAACTCAAAGGCTAACAAGGGCCAAATAAACGAGGCATGCAGCCCGTGGGCCATGAGTTTGACATGCTTGCTCTAGAGCAGCGGTTCTCAACCTGCGGGTCCCAACCCCTTTGGGGGTCGAACGACCCTTTCAAAGGGGTCACCTAAGACCATCAGAAAACACATATATAATTACATATTGTTTTTTGTGATTAATCACTATGCTTTAATTATGTTCAATTTGTAACAATGAAAATACATCCTGCATATCAGATATTTACATTACGATTCATAACAGTAGCAAAATTACAGTTATGAAGTAGCAGTGAAAATAATTTTATGGTTGGGGGTCACCACAACATGAGGAACTGTATTAAAGGGTCGTGGCATTAGGAAGGTTGAGAACCACTGCTCTAGAGGATCATGGTTTCCCTCCAGCAGGAGGTGCCCAGCCAAGCCACCGTTGCTGACGTGATTCTTTTTAGTTTTCCAGCCGAGGGTGGAAAAGAACTTACTAGCTTTGTGTGCCCTCCCAGGGTAGTGCTGAATGTGTTAATTTAATGTGTTTTTCCTTTTGTCCACTCCGCGATCTTCTTCAACCTTCCATCTCCAAATGTTTAGCTGGACCTGCTTATGCTTTGCACTTTCGAGTTAAATATTATTCTTCAGAACCGAACAACCTTCGTGAAGAGTTTACAAGGTAGGACAAGATGCAGAACAGAATCCGCCCCTGTCGCACTTGCCTCACGTGTAGTGTATGGGGCTCCTAAACTGTGGGTTTGCCTCCCCCTCCCTCTGCTGCCTTCATATTCTGAGCAGGAGTTATGAGCACTTGGCCTGTGCTTATCTCTGTATTCTGTTGAAAATCTACACTTTGCTTAATTTGACCTTTTTCTTTATAAGCCAGCGTGCAAAGATTTGTCATCTTCTCACATTTCTGTTTGGTTGACCTTGGGTGATTTGGGTAGTTGTTCTGTGGCACTTTATTTTTGTGCCCGGTAAGAAAAGGGATGGCAGGGATTGGAAGAGCCTTTCTCAGTCCAAAATTGCCATCTTATTTTCTTTTAAGGGACTGCAGAATATTCCCTTGGTTGTTACAGTGCCAACGTTCTTAGAATCTCTTCGTGTTATCTTTCAGCCCCACTGGATTTCTTTTATGTCTGCCTGGCTTCAGAAACAGTGTTGAAGCAAAAGAGACCTAAAACATTTTAAGCATGGGGTTTCCCTCCAGCTACCCTTTTATCAGTGAGAGTCTCTGCCCAGTCCTGCCCGCTGTCCCCAGAACCTCCTTGTCATTGTCTGTGATGGACAGTGGTGGTGCTGGGTAGTCCGTGGTTGACCACTAGCTTGGAGATGACACCTAAGCAACACTTTCAAGACTGCTTATCACCCTTCACCTCCCTCTCCCCATCAGAGAGGCCTACGGGGCTCCTGGAGTTAGGTTTTCCTGTAGAAATTGGAAGATCGGGCCATGTCACACTGTCCTTCTTGATGGGAGTACTCAGTTCATTGGTGGTTAAGCACTTGTAGCAGGCAGGAACATTCTGGAATAGAACCTTCAGGCCCCCCGTTGATTTTTGGGGTCACCCGCATTGTCCTATGTCCATGCCACGGAGAGTGACTTATCGGCACTGTTCTCAAAGTTCAAACAGATGAAATTATTCTAGTATTTTCCTTCCGAGTCCTTTATGAAACAGGCTGCTCCTAGCTGTCATCAAAGCCAGTGGTTCTGAAGCAGGGTTGTGTGAATGAGAAACACGTGGGAAGCTTTTGAGCAAATCAGATTCCTGGGGACTCTGACTCCCTGGGTACGGAGTGGGGGGACCGTGGGCAGCCTTTTGGTTTTTACAGAGCACTCTAACGTGGTTCCCATGCCCACGTGCATCTGGTCAGAAACTACTTGTTTAGGCCACGACACTTAGTCTTTTTACTTAAGTGAACCCTACTTGTGTTATTTGCTTTCCCATTTTTTATTACTCCTGTCCAGGATTTTTGAATTTTGTTCCAGGATTTTTGAATTTTGTTCTGTGTGTGTGTGTGTGTGTGTGTGTGCGCGCGCGCGCGCATACATGTCGACAGTTTTTTAAAAGACAGAGTCTGCAGTTAAACTGCATCAGGAAAAAAGTCTTACGCAGCTGCTAACGACAGTCAGCCGTAAACTCTTCGATACAGTCAGATGCAGCCTTTCTGGACTCCCGGGTGGGGCTGGCTGAGGGCCCCACACGGTGGCTCCACCTGCCCGTGTGATTGGACACGTCACACGCCTGCTGTGTATGAGCGCCGCATGCAGTGCTTGGCCCTCTCCCGGGACACGGAGGGGGTGTGGAGGCTGTCATTGGACCCTGCCATGTCCCATGTTCCATCCTCCAAGTATCTTGCAAGTTCCTACATGCACTCACCTTCCTGCAGACGCGGGAGGAGATGCTTCCACCACGTTGGAGTTGGACCCCCTCCTTACAATGCAGAATTTGGGGTTGCATGCGGGGCGGGTTCATGCTGGGCAGTCGGGATCGAGTCGGGAAAGAGTGATCCTCTGTTGACTTTTGTATATGTTTGTCAGGTACCTGTTTGTTTTACAACTCAGGCATGACATTCTTTCAGGAAAGTAAGTACATTTTTGTTCTAACTCTTAAACCCAGGATAGATCACATAGCAGTATATTTCTAAATGATTCACTGTTTTTTGTTTTTGTTTTTTTTTTAACTCTCTTACCCTTGTTCCCTTTTCAAAATTCAAAAAAAAAGTACACCAGGCATTGTAAAGTGAGTCTAATACTTGTATCACTGTCATCATCTTATTTTAAATGGTTACTCTATGGCTTGAAGCATTTCCAAGAGCATTTAATATCTTAAGTGATGTGTATTTGGGAATTATTCTCTCCCTGATCACATCACTGCCCCATTCATAATGGCTTTTGTCGTATTTGCAAGCAAGATACGTTATTAGTATGTATACACTTACAAGTATTTGGACAGTCAAAAAGTTTCATTCATCACCATCGGCATCAGATAACGTAAAGAGGTAATGTCCTGATTCTGATAGAAAGAGGTTTAGACATCTCATCTCATTTCCTTTGCCCCCCTTCAAAGTGGTTTTTAAACACGAGGCCTCTGGCTGCACAGTGATTGTTGAGGATAAGGAGCATGGGCACTGACCTGGTTGATTTTACACGCAGTGTTCATCTGTTTTAAAGACGCAAGATTTACAGTCCTAGCTCTGACAGCGGTGTCATTTTTCAGCCTATGTATTGACTATTTTCTTGTATGTGAAAAACTTTTAAGACTCTACTGAATCTAAAACGCAACACCTGATATCGACAAGAATACATTTTGATTTTGAATATAATCCGGAGGGAATTGAAAATGCGCTTTCTGAATTTGCAAACCCTCCATAGAATACCTGCTATGAAATCCTTAGTAGAACGTACGCGATAGAACACGTAGATTGTACAGTGTATACATTTGCCTTCCTCAGCCATGCAATACAGATCTTTGATTGATGTGTGTATTATGAGTGTGTGTGTGTTTTGACCTCCCTCCCCCTTTCTCCATACCGTGCTCCTCATCCTGAAGGCCTCTCGACTCTAGTAAATGTCCTCAGTTTGGAAAAATACCAATGGCAGACATCCTGCATTTGTATAGTACTTTGCAGTTTCCATGCACTTCAGCCTGATGTACTGACTGTACTTCAAAGCAGGTGGATGTTCTGGTCCCAGCACTGACCCCTACTGGCTGGATGACCTTGGGCAAGGCAATCCTGCACTCTGCACCTCATCTCCAAATGGGGGATGGGGAGCACTGGCGACACACGTCTTAGGGGTTTACAAGCTCCGCGCATTGACCAAATGGGGTAATATAGGTGACAGGCTTTGAAAACTATGAAGTGCTATACCAATGTATGTCATTATTATTTTTCTAACGAAATTGTCATGTGAAATACGAATGAGATCCTGATTTGCAGTAATACCTGTCTATGGCTCAATCTCAGTTATACTTATGAGAATGCTTGAGTGTATCCAGCTGTCCTGGCACTGTCAGATACCATGTCTGTCTGCTTACTTTTAATATTATGACCTCGTTTCCAGAAGGATTTAAGGCAGCTTGGAAAGGTGCATGTACAATATCAAGATAAAATAAGTTTAAAAATAATAAGGCAAAGGGAAGGCTTCTCATTCTATTTCCCAAATTTCCCCATTTATTTATTTATTTATTTTGCAAAATTTGCTAAAATTGCCCACACATGGTTGATAGAACCTAGACCTAGATTGGATTCTTTCACCGTATGATGAGAACTGACTTTGGGAAGTATGTAATGCAAGTCAGCTTGGTTGCATTATTTAATGTGGACAGCAGAACTAGAAACCAGAAAACAAGAATTATGACCTAAAGATCACTACCTTCTGACCAGTGACTTGAATGACATTTTGTATAGTTATGAGTATTAAAGTCCATGTACAGCATTAATTTCTTTTCTTTCTTTTTTTTTCCCCAAGATTGAAATGCCCATATGAGACGGCTGTGGAATTAGCTGCTCTCTGTCTACAAGGTACATTGTTCTTTAGTGTTCCTTAGCATTCTAATGCCATTACTTCCATTCAACAAATGAGTGTCTACTGTGTACCAGGTACAGTGCGGTGCTTTGGGGGTATCAGTGAATATGATATGGTCTCCGTCCTCAAGTAGCTTGCAGTCCCATGAGGACCACGTGGAGGACCACATACTCTGCATGTACAGAGTACAGTGTCGTCCCTTTAGGAGTAGGGACCTGCAGGAGGCCTGTAAGAGGAGGGCTGGGCGGGGGGAGGGGGAGGGCGGTTACTAAGTGAATACGATCAAAGTAGAAAGGCATGTGCAGAGAGGTGCTAGCTGTTAAGTGGTGTCAGAGGGTGAGGGTCAAGAAGCTGGGTAGGTGGGCGCCTTTGGACCCCTTTAAAGAGCACGGGTTTCATGCTGTCAGCAGTAGCGCCTTTGGAGGCTGGGGTTGGGGGTGTAGTGAGGAGGTGTTGCTGTGATAAAAAGAAACTGATTAGGGCTGGGGGTTCAACACACACACACACCCCAAAACAAACAACAGCATTGTCCATACTAGGAGAAGGACATGGACATTAGACTTAGGTGTGGAGAGAGAAGTCAGAGATGACTCAGGGTTGAAGAAGAGTTGGGCTCTGGTGGAGGAGACATGAGTGTAGGGCGTCTTGGCCGAGAGATGCCAGTGGGACCTCCACTAGCTTTGTGAGTATGCAAATCTGACTTGGTGAGAAACATCGACAGGGGAGTCATCGGCATGTGGGTGGGAATTGGATGGTAAAGGTTTGCCTGCATTGACTATTCCATCCATGTGATGCATTCAAATGCACAAGAAACCCTCTCTTGCCACCGTCTCCGGCACTAATTAAGAGGATACTGGTGTGTACATTGCACATAAGGAATTTCATCAGTACATCAGGTAGACATATGCTGTGGACTCGTTTACCAGTGTGCTCATTGGCTTCCATGGAATAATGAATTATTCATAATTACTAATTATTTTTGGACATCGTAATAAGATCTGCCTTCTCGCTTTTTTATTTACCAATTTGTTAAAAGTTGATCTCAAATGATAAAGTCAGTACATGCTTATTATAGCAAGTCGGGACAACAGCATAATAGACAAGTGGAAGGAAGGCAGGAACCCTGCGTCCTGCCAACCACAGACAAACAGAGACTCTGTCTATGTGGTTAGAGTGGAGTGTTTAAAATGTAATTCTGTGCAGAGTCATAGACACATTTTTTGTATGATTTTCTACTTGGCATTTTTTAGTACATGCATTTTGTCATGTTTACACTCATCAAGATGGTTTTTAATGACTTCAGGTTATTCCCATTCTCTGATACTCGCATTCTTTAGTCAACGTTCTCATCCTCTACTGGGGGCTTGGCATATAGTAGGTGCTCAGTAAGTGCAGAGTGGATTGAATGAAGTTGAAGAGGCCCCCAAGGACTTTGATTGAAGGGGGAGCCTGGCCCTGAGGTGTGAAGGCATTGGTGGTAGAGGGGGCCATATTGTCATCTGTAACTGTCTTTGCCAAGTACAGTGCCAGATGTTTCACATCCATATGCAAACCCACACAGACATTCTAATGATCTTCACAGTCTGGGCAAGCTGGCTCAGCTGTGGTTGACCTGAAAAGCAAGCTACTGCATTCACTGATGGGATGGGCAGAAGGGGGCATGGAGGGACATAGATTCCTAATACCACAGTCCTATGTAAGTGCCATAAGGATATGTAATGGCTTGGGGAACTTGGAAATGGACTGTCCACTTTGACCGGGTGTAAATTTCCCCAGCTTGTCAAGTAGCCTCCATCCACCCTGGAATTTCTGAGTTGCCAGGAGGTCACACCATCAGGCTTGGTGGCCCAGCAGCAGATGTCAGGATGTGGTTAATGGGATGAAAGCAGCCATGTCAGACCTGGGGTCCCCAGTCCACTGGAGAGGTTTCTTCCGAAGGCCAGAGGCGCAATATGTAAACCTGTCTGTTGTCTTGAATGATTAGAGGATGAGGCACACGTCAATGCCCACTCCCCTTCGTCCTCCCGCCCCTTGTGATGAGGGCATCACCACCTTCACCAAGTCCAGCTCTAGTAGAACTACATACCCTGCCCTGGAACCCATGCAGACCAGAACATCAGCTCTCCATGAGCCCTTCCTGAAGAAACTACCCATCTGAGTTGGAGCCACATTAGTGTAATTTAGATGCAGTCATTATGTGAGGTACAAATGAAAAGACTGGAGACTTAGACATGCAGATGTCTACGGGAAGTTCTTGTTCCGTTGTCCCTCCATGCCCCCTCTGCCCATCCCAACAGTGAATGCGGCAGCCTGCTTTCCAGTTCAACCACAGCCAAGCCAGCTTGCCCCAGACTATAAAGATCACTAGAGCATCTGTGTGGGTTTGCATAATGTGAAAGGTCGTGTTTCCTCCCGTGCTTGAGCCTTGCAGACACGTCTTGCTGTGGTGGCCCTTGAGTTAATGGCGCTTCCAGTGTTAGGATGCAGTGGCCTTGCGTAGAGGCTGTGCTCTTTGGGGAACTAAATTTCCGGTAGATTAGAAATTCAATTCAGGCAAAAAAAAGAACAAGGGAGGAAGGAAGGAATGATCATTTGTTGTGTGCCTGTGGTCTTGTTCCATCCTTGTAGCAGGTATTGTTTTACAGATAAAGATCAGAGACCCAGGCGAAGTGGCTTGCCCAGACCACACACATAGTATATGGCAGAGGTGGGCTCCCCCTCCTGTCTGAGCTCTTTCTGCCCCCTCCACAGCGGGGCCCTGGCTACAGAGTTCGCAGACTGAGGGAAGTGTCAGGTTGTTTTTTGTTTTTGTTTTTTTAAAATGTATTTTTATTGATTTCAGAGAGGAGGGGAGAGGGAGAGAGAGATAGAAACATCAATGATGAGAGAGGATCATTGATCAGCTGCCTCCTGCACACCCTCTACTGGGGATCGAGCCCGAAACCCAGGCATATGCCCTTGACCGGAATCAAACCCACGACCCTTCCGTCCGCAGGCTGACGCTCTAGCCACTGAGCCAAGCCGGCTAGGGCAAGTGTCAGGTTTTGCCAGCAGATTCTTGGAAAGCAGACATGCTATCTCACAAATGATCTCCCTCCGGCCCGTTTTAGCCCAGTCGTAGGGAGGAGGGACGCCAGCCCCTTGCGAGCCCCAGGGAACCCTTGTCATTGTCTGGCTTCTCTCTCCTGTGCTTGATGGTGCCAGGGGCCTTGTCCACACACAGCCACTAAGCACAGGGCTCCACTGCCTCCCTTCGGCCCGTGGTGCAAGGGAAGAGTGGTTCCTATCAAGGAGATCTCTTCCCAGACTGCCCCTCTGGGCTTGGCAGGTCACCAGTTTCAGGGTGACCCCTTAGTGGTCAGAGTGGCCTCCCACCTCAGCCCAGACCTCGCCTTCTCTGGGTCAAGGCTTCCAGGGAAGTCTTCATGAGTGACTTTGCCCACCCTGACTCAGGCCACTGGTGGTCTCAGGGTTCCCGTCCAGAAGAGGGGCCGCATCAGGCCAGGAAACATTCACCAGGTCCCTCCCCGGGTCAGACACGGTCTCGTACAGTCTCCCCACCACCTGTCTTAGTCTGTGTTAGTGCTTCCTCTGTGTGATCGGGGAAGTTTTATCGACCTCTGCCAGCAGCTGGAGTCCTCAGCAGCACACTGGCCTGGCACAGCCCACGTGGGGTAGGGAAAGGGCTGCTTGGGGACGCAGCGAGTTGCTGTCACTGGAGGGACTCAGGCATGTGCTGGCTGGTCGGTTGACTGGATTTGTTGTGTTAAGCAGTAGTTCCCCAAGTATGTTCCCTGGGTCAGCCTCATCGGCACCACCTGGGAACTTGCTAGAAACACACATTCTCTGGCCTTGCTCCAGACCCACGGAATCAGCATCCCTGGGGGTGGGGTCCAGCGACACGAGCTGTACCAAGCCCTCCAGTTTGCACGCTCGCATTTGCAAACCACTATTGCAGATCAGTGCTTCTCACAGTAACGGGTGCACCAATTCCCTGGGCCCCTTAAGAAATGGCAGGTTTGGCTTCGGTAGGTCTGAGGTGGGACTGAGAGTCTGCATTGTGAGAAGGCTCCCAGGTGATACTGGTGCTGCTGGTCCAGGGACAACCGACCCACTTTGTGTAGCGAGATCAGAGGAGCCTCTGGGGTATTCCTTTTCATCCTGGGGTCGCTTCCTGTGCTGCAGAGGTGCGGGAGAGGTGGTGGATTTCCCCCTTCGTGTCCTGGAGGAATGGGGCCCCTTGTGGGGTACGTGGTGAGAGCAAGGACCCTCGGTGGGGATCGCCCACGTGGCTGCCCCTCCTCTCTGCATGACTGGCTCCCTCCCTGGTTCTGCCTGAGCTGCAGCAGTTGCTCCTGCAGCCCTTACATCCCCTCCTCCCCCCTCCCTCCCTCCTTCGCTCTCTCTCCCAACATATTTTTCCCCTGGATTCTGCATGTACTGAATTCTTGATTGGTCCTCTCAGCACTGCAGACCCTGGAGTGCTGCTCAGACCCACCTACTTCACGAGAGCTTTGTTAAATGAGTTTCTGGGCAGGTCCTCATTCCCTGCAGTTGCCTCTTTATTGCACATTCAGGCTCTACCACTTCGCGGGGGAAATATACTCAGGGCCTCCCCGGGCAGGAGCAATAATCAGGAGAAAGACAGTCATCACTAAGATGATGGTGTTGTGCCCCATGGGAGGATTCTGAATGTACATGTGGGTACCGAGCGGGAGTCGGGTCCTCCTGGAAGGAGTGCATTACACATTCGGGGTACCTGTGCTTTGTTACCGTGCAAAATGCCTTTGGACCTGGTTGCAGCAGCAACGAAAAGCACTCAATGTCTCCTGTTTTTCTCCTTCTTGTGACACTTGCAGCGGAGCTTGGGGAATGTGAGCTTCCAGAACACACCCCAGAGCTTGTGTCTGAGTTTCGGTTCATTCCAAATCAGACAGAAGCGATGGAATTCGATATCTTCCAGAGGTGGAAAGAGTGCAGGTACCTTGACGCATTTATTTTGTGATATGTAAGCCTTTGCATGATCCTTTCATCGACTATCAAACTGCAGCCCCAACTCTTCACCTCTCTCCCGTGCTTCAGTCCTGTTTTTCCTAAGGCCCACACGACGTCTCTCTCTTTCTAGAGATGTACAGTAAGAACCGAAGCATATCCTGTTTCCCTGAGTTATAGAGCCCAAGCCTGATTTGCTCAGTTGCTGCCAGGAATGCCCCTTCTCTCCTGGCCTGAAGAAAGTGAAGGGGGAGGGAGGTGGGCGGGAGGAGGCTGCTTTGAAACATTCCCATACCTGGGTCTCTGTCCATGGTCTGAACTCTTCAGATGTAGCCCATGCTGTCCCTACAGGGACACTCATATCTGAGACCATGTGATTTCAGGACATGTGGTCACTGCAGCTAAAACCAGCCCTACCATTTATCTTTGGGCTTTTTCCTCCTTTCCCCCGTAGACACCCCAGTCTGCCGCTCTTATGCCTGGGCTGCCAGTAGTGCCTCCGCTCACATTTCCCAGACGTTAGCCTCTCTTCCTTCCCGGCCCATCTTCCCCAAACTCTGCCCGTTCCAAGTCACTCTAGGACTCAGAAACTCCTTCTGTCCCTCAGTCATTCTGAAGGGCATATGACTTTTTTGAAAATGGAGAGTGACAGTGTGTTCTGTTTTTAAATTTTTTTATAAATATACTTTTATTGATTTCAGAGAAGAAGGGAGAGGGAGAGCGATAGAAACATCATTGATGAGAGAGAATCATTGATTGGCTGTCTCCTGCACACACACCTCCCCCACCACCATCACCACTGGGGATCAAGCCCTCAACCCAGGCATGTGCCCTGATGGGGAATTGAACCATGACCTCCTGGTTCATAGGTTGATGCTCAACCTCTAAGCCACATTGTCTGGGCTGTTAGTGCATTCTTGTATCACATAGAAATGTGTGGTTGCAGAGTCATCTGCACCCCTGCACGCCCCTCTCCCCCCTGCAGGCAGCTGTTGTGTTCTCCGCCTTTCCTTTGCATATACATACCCGTATCTACACACCAACAAATGCTTTCCTTAAGTGTTCACATTAGAAACACTGCTCTGTCATCTTCCTGTCCAGTGAACGGTCTGTCTGGAGGTGTGTTAGTATAAATGGGTGTCCCCCGTTCCTTTCATTGCTGCATAAAATCCCTCAGTGCATGGCTGTGCCCTTCAGAACCTCGTGGGTGTACGAGTTGCAGTTTACATGTCTTTCCATTGGTTTCTCTAAGGGGAAAGAGCCCTGCCCAGGCGGAGCTGTCCTATCTGAATAAAGCGAAGTGGCTGGAAATGTATGGGGTAGACATGCACGTTGTCAGGGTAAGAACTGGGTGCGTTCAAGTCCTTGGGTCTCGCTGTGCCTGAGCAGTGGGTAAACGATGGGCAAACAATGTAACGTGGTGAGCGAACTGTTTTTGCATTCTGCTCTGTGACCACCTGTTAGAACCTTGTACCGATTGTCACTTCATTTATTTGTAGGGAAGAGATGGCTGTGAATATTCTCTTGGACTGACCCCGACAGGCATATTAATCTTTGAAGGAGCTAACAAAATAGGCTTATTCTTTTGGTAATTTAGTTTTGTCTAATATTAAAAATGTCTTTTCCTATTTTGTGGTGGAATTATATGTGATGGATGATTATTGAGGGCTATTTGCAATCCCCCCCCCCCCCGCTTCATTTTAAAGGCGCACCATTCTCTGATATTTGTGGGTGTATGGCATTGGCAATGAAACCTCTGGATAATCACGCTTAAATGAACGAATGATTTCGTAGCAAATCCAAGCTTTAAAAGTAGAGAGGAAACTGCTGTTTGACGTGTCGTTTCCCTGCAGATTGTGCTTTTACAATGTTTTCTCTCTGGCCAGGCCTAAAATTACCAAAATGGACTTTAAAAAGAGCAAATTGACACTAGTGGTGGTGGAGGACGATGATCAGGTAAGCCTTGCTCCCGTCCTGCACCCCCCCACCCCCCGGCCGTGGATAATCCTTCATCCGCGTTCCTAACGCCCACCAACACGAGAACCCTGTGCTTCCCCGCGAAGGGCCGGGAGCAGGAGCACACGTTTGTATTCCGCCTGGACAGCGCCAAGACCTGCAAGCACCTCTGGAAATGCGCAGTCGAGCATCACGCGTTCTTCCGACTGCGCACGCCAGGAAACAGCAAGTCGAATAGATCAGACTTCATCAGGCTGGGGTCCCGCTTCAGATTCAGGTAGGCACCGTCTCACAACACAACACGGTGGCAAGGGTGGAGCCACCGGTCTGCCCCCAGAGGCTCGTGTTGGGCCTCCTCCTGTCCCTGCTTCTCTAAGATCTGCCCGGGGGCTCTTCAGCCACTGTTCTCCTTGATGGAATTGGGGGCAATAATAACAGAGTTGTTAGTAGCTGACATGTGGCTTGAACTAGCCTGTCTATTTCAGGAAACACTAGCCACATGTGGCTATTTAGAGTCATTAATATTAAAGGGATTTTAACATGTAGTTGTTCAGTCTCACCAAGCAAGTTTCGGGTGCCCAGAGCACACAAGGCAGGTGGCTGCCGCGCTGGGCAGTGCAGCCGCAGGGCGTAGGCATCCCTGCGGAAAGCTCTGTGCACCGCACTGCAGCGGGCTCTGCATGTACCAGCTCGCAGTCCTCCCAGCAGCCTTCAGAGGATAGGTCCTCTCATTATCCCCATTTTACAGATAAGGAAGCTAAAGGCCAGGGGTTACATAATCTGCCCAAAGGCACAGACTGTGAGTGCAGAGCCAAGATTCAACCCCACACTTGAAGTCGGGGTCTTACACTTGAACCACTACTCTATTGCTTTGCACATGCCCATGGCAGGAAATCCGGGGACACTGAAGAATGAGAGCAGGTTTCAACGTGCGTGTGAGTGACCCCAGGCAGCCTCAGTAAATATTTGAATCTGAAAAGACCCTGAAAAAAAAAACCCACAGAATTTATTTTGATGAATTTTTACTTAGGATTCTGAGATGGTGTCTCTCAAAATGCATGAAACCTCGCTGGGTGTTTATTAAAAAGGAGGATTTATGACCTCACCTAAGACCTTCGTAACCAGAAGCTGTGGGCGTCCACATGTACATGTATGAATAAGGCTGGGCGGGTACATTTTAAATGCGTTCCCAAGGTTGATTTCTGAGGCACATTTACTGATCTGAGAATAGCTCTTACAAGACCTAAGGCTTCACATGTTTCATAACCTCTGCCCACACGTGGCATGTCCTTGAACTCTGTTTAAAGTGCCAACAGATCTGCTCATTTCAGATTTATCTACTGTGCAAGGGATTGGCTGTGCACTTGTGTTTAAAGAGTTACTGTGTTTGAATGTATTTTTTTAAAAAAAAATTTATTGATTTTAGAGAGAGAGAACGGGAGAGGGAGAGAGAGAGAGAAACACACTTGGATATATGAGGAATCATCAATCAGTTGCCTCCCATACACACCCCAACCAGGGTCTGAACCCACAACCTGGGCCTGTGTCCTGACTGGGAATCGAACCAGTGACCTTTAGGTGCCCAGGACGCCACTCAGCAAACCGAACCACACCAGCCAGGGCTGTTTGAATGTCTTTTCAAATGCTGCAAGGCAGGGGGCAAAAACCAGGTTCTTTCTGAGAATAGACTCACGGGGTTCTGCGGGGGATGGAGAATGTCAGCCTGCAAAGGTTAGCGGAGACATCGCCGGGGAGGCTGATGTCTGCTCGAGTCGGAGCGAGGAGGGAATGGCCTGTGGGGGTGGTGGCCAAGGCAGGACTTCCCATCCTGGGAGGCAGCTCCCCCAGGAGTTGGCCCAGACCAGGCTCAGGCTCCCTTCTGCTCTTTGAAGAGAAGCTTAGAAGGAAAGGGGAGTTTAGAGATGAGGTTGGCCCTGGGAAGCCCTTAGAGCAGGTGGCCAGTGGCTCCTTCCATGTGATAAATCCTAAACCGAGAGTGGCTGGAATGAGGCCATGACAGCTCAGACACAAACAGCATGCCCCCTGGACACTGGGCAGCTCCTCGGTTGAGACCCAGAAAGCCGTGGTGAGAGACCAGTGTTTCTCTCGGCATGGCAAGCGAAGCCAAGGTTTGGGTAAGTGGTCATTGATAACAGCCTTTTAAATGATTTAAATGTCTGCGTAATTTGTTTCATGAGAGGTTATTATATGTGCCAGCCAGTATTCTCTTAGTGAAACATTCCAGGTACTGGAACCTGCTTGGTTTGTGCAGCCAAGTAGCCGGTACCTAAATTGCACGTTTTGTCCTTTGATAGAAGTGCCTGCCTCTATCCTACGGCCTGGATTTGGCAAAGCTGATTTTGTTTCCAAATGGAAGGCAAAACTTAGTGTGCTCTTCGACACACGAGTCACGATAAGTTGGAATTGACACTGGAACTCTGGGAAATAAGGTTCACTTTCAGATATGTGTAAGGTACTGATACTCTGATATGGGTGACGTGCAATAAAATATTTACTTTCCAGTGGGCGGACGGAATATCAGGCGACTCACGGGGCCCGGTTACGAAGAACCAGCACCTTCGAGAGGAAGCCTAGTAAACGCTATCCATCCCGGAGACATTCGACATTCAAAGGTTGCGTGCTCTCCACTCTGCCTTGGGATTTGACGTTATGCTTTAGCTGGTTAATCCCCGAGGAGCTTGGGGAGGCAGATTTTTTTAAAATCCTCTCTAATTTCTCCTCAGAGAACCATTTTTAAAAAATATGTTTTTAGCCCCAGTCTATTTGGCTCAGTGGACAGAGCCTCGGCCTGCAGACAGAAGGGTCCCAGGTTCGATTCCAGTCAAGGGCACTTGCCTGGGTTGCGGGCTCGGTCCAATGTGCAGGAGGCAGCCAATCAGTGATTCCTTCTCATCATTGATGTTTCTATCTCTCTCTCTTCCTTTCTGAAATCAATAAAAATATATTTTAAACAAATGTTTTTGATTTTTAGAGAGAGAGGAAAGAGAGAGAGATAGAAACACGAATAAGAGAGGGGAAACATCCATCGGCTGCCTTCTGCACACCCCTACGGGGGATCGAGCCTGAAACCCAGGCATGTGCCCTGACTGGGAATCACACCGGGGACCACTTGGTGCATGCATTGATGCTCAGCCACTGAGCCACACCGGCTGGCCAGTGAAGCAGATTTTGAAGGCACTTCCTATTGTTCTGCTTTGTCATGCTAAAGCTTTTTATTTTTTTAATTATAGTGACATATAATACTGTATTAGTATTTTAGCTGTTGTCACCTTACACCTCTCTGCCTGGGTCTTGGTGTGGCTGCCCCAGAGGGGAGGGCCCATCCTAATGCTTGGCCCCTGCGATGGCCGAGAGCTCCCCCACGCTCCAGGTTCTGTGTTTCTCCTCCACCTCCGTCCTGGTCTCCATCCTCTTTTTCCTCCTCTGTTTTACTGACAGCTTCTCCAGCCAGAGTTCTGGCATCTTGGGGAAGCTATGAATGGTTCTCCGTGCTGCATTTTTTTGAGACAAAGTAGAGTCTAGATCATCCGTGCCTCTTGGCGCGGCCCCTTCCACAGACGCACAGCCTGCCCCTGTCAGTGGCTGCCCTGCGCCCCGTAGGTTCATGCTTGTATTTTAGCCAAGAACACCTTACACCTCTCTGTCTGGGTCAAGGCTGGGAGCTCTTTGAGAGCCAGGGCTGTGTCCAGCCCCTCTGCAGCCCAGAGCCCCTGGCCCTGGGCACGCACGCGGAGGGCAGGGCTCCAGGGAAAGGACTCGTACTGTCCCTCCCGAAAGGAGAAGCAGCCGCGTGGAGACTCTGCCTCCTGGCGCTGAGGCTGCTCTTAGATCACGGACGTCCCCCGCCCCCCTCCCCCCCTTCCCCTGCACCTTGTCATCGCGCGGTAAAAGTGAGAAAGCTCTCTAAAATGTCGTGCTCTCTGTTTTTGTTTTAAAGCAAGCAACCCGGTGATAGCTGCTCAGCTCTGGTAAGTGCCCCCAGGCCCTGGGGTGCAGCTGTTTTCTCTCTTATATTTACTTTCAATATTGACTTTTTCCTTGATACAATTAAATCGCCGAGTGTGTCTGCTGATTTTCTTTTTTTCCTTTTCTGCTGCCTGGCTGTACCATCCCCCTGGCTCTCCATGAGTACACAGGAGAAGGTTTCAAGACAGTTGTTGTTTTAGAAAACACAGCTGCCTTGTTTGAGTAGCTCTGTGCTTTGTTTGCCCTAACAGTGGGTGACAAAGGTGAAAGGAATGCGCCCAGCACATGGTGCTCGTGGCATTGCAGGCAGCGGTGGGAAGGGAAGGCCGTGCTCATGAGCAAAAACTGTGCAAGAGCAGATGCAGGATTCGCTCTGTAACAGGCAGGTTTCATCGTCATACAGGGTAGAAGACCTTTATTAAGCACTTTATTGAAATTCCTGTAGGAAAAAGAACTTGTCAGAAGACTGAAACTCTAGCACAGGAGCCAGCCAACTTTTTCTGTAGCCAGATAGGAAATACTTTAAATATGTTTTTATTGATTTCAAAGAGGAAGGGAGAGGGAGAGGGAGAGAGAGAGAGAAACGTCAATGATGAGAGAGAATCATTGATTGGCTGCCTCCTGCATACCACCTACTGAGAATCAAGCCCACCACCCGGGCATGTGCCCTTGACCAGAATTGAACCTGGGACCTTTCGGTCTGAAGGCCGGCACTCTATCATCTGAGCTAAACTGACTAGGGCCAGATAGGAAATATTTTAGACTTTGCAGGCTGGGCTGTCGCTTTTACAAGGTACTCTGTCGCTGGAGCACCAGAGCCACTAGAGCCATATGTAAATGAAGGAACAGGTCTGTGAGCCAATCAAATGTGACCACAATCACAGGTAGGCCAGGTTTACAGCCGCTTCCCCAGCACAGGTATTCTGGATCTTTCCTGTTCATTGGAATCACCTGGTCAGCTTTGACGAGTCCCTGTCACCCAGGCCACACCTCAGGCTAAGGGAAGATCTGAGGGTGGGGCCCAGGCACCTGTGGTTTTGAAAGCCCCCAGGTGATTCTAGTGGGCAGCCCAGGTAAGAACCCTCGTCCTACCTTGAATGTGCCTTTTTCTCCCTCTGAAACAACTGTGTTCTTAAGGGAGTTTTGACTTATTAGTGGACAGGCTGGTAGAGAATCACAGAATGTAGTTGTTTCAACTCTTGCATCCAAGCTCCAAGGACCGACCAGTAGCCCAGTTTAGTTAGCCCAGTGGTTCTCAACCTTCTGGCCCTTTAAATACAGTTCCTCATGTTGTGACCCAACCATAAAATTATTTTCGTTGCTACTTCATAATGTTGCTACTGTTATGAATCGTAATGTAAATATCTGATATGCAGGATGGTCTTAGGCGACCCCTTGTGAAAGGGTCGTCCAACTGCCAAAGGGGTCACAACCCACAGGTTGAGAACCACTGATAGCCTTTCAGCCGTCGGAGGTACAGGCCTCAGGCTGCCAGGGAGCATGGTCTTTGAGATCACAGTTGGGCTGTGCCATGCACTCTGGACAGTTGGCAGCACACGAGGTGGAGCCAGTAGCCGAAGCCCTTGTTGGTGGGGAGATCCCTGCCCGGGGATCAGGAGACTGGCCCCAGCGTGGCTCTCACCCAGCTCTGGGGCCTTGGCCTCCCCCTTTCTGGGCCTCCTCTTTCTGACTTGAAAACAAGGAGGCTGGACTGGATCAATGTTCTTTTCAAGTTTTTTTAGGCCCCCAGATGAAACCTGCCATAGAGAACAGAGGGACGTGGAGAACATAGAGAACTGGGGACAAAGCAGAGTGGGGAGGGAGGGGGCCAGCGCCTGCTGCTCATCCGCCCCTCCCCCCAGTACCCCAAGGCTCTAGATCCCCACGGTTCTGGAGAGCACAGCTGGCCCCTTGTATATCACACAGCTGGAAACTCAGCCTCGAGTCTTTGATTTCAAACTACCTGCAGGGCATTCTGCTGGGGCCAAGGGTCCAGCGCTGTGTCTAGGTTCACTTCTCAGCACCTGAGGAAGGGGGTCCAGGGTCCTGTGAGCTGCTGGTCATCAGGCCCTGCTCCCCACCCTCTCCCCGGGAGGGAGAAGGTTGCACGGTTCTGCATGGTTAGCTGAGCCTCCAGGCTTTGCCCTGTTTCTAGCATCCCTGTGGCAGCTAGTATATGCTAACAGTATTGGCTGCTTTCCCTGCCCTTCAGCATGTCTTGCTTTTAATTCTCAGGGGTTTGTGCGTTACAGTGTTTCTTTCCTTTGCTGTTTAGGGAAGTGATTGTTTTGTGTGTTGGCTTTTCCCTAATAAAATTACATTTGCCACTTAGCATCTAGTGATTACATATATTGGGAACCAAAACAAACTAAAAAAAAAAAAAAACTCCCAAAAAATAAATAAAAGAAACCCCAAGTAAAGATACCCTTTAGGAACAAATGAGCTAATAACCACTGTTCGCAGCTGTTTGATTGTTCTCGGCAGCCTGTGGAGCCAGGGTGAGGAGGATTGCTGTGGGAGCCAGGGATAAAACTGCGCTCTGGGCTGCAGAGGTGATCCGGGAAAATAGCACCTTGCAGGACACTTAACCTTCCTGCTGCAATCCAGCCGGAGGTGAACCTGGCCCGGAGCCTGGCTCCGCGCCCTGACCCCCTCGGAGAACTGGAACACAGCGCCATTTAGACCCCAGCAAGGCTCGTCACAATGACACGCTTCCCTCTCGTTGTTGGAGAAGCAGTAAGCCTTGATTTCAAGCACAGCGCCCTGGCAACACAGCCCGGTGGTGGTGCTGCATGAGGGAGGCCAAGCCTGCAAACTAAATAACACGTTATGTTTTACACCCACCGTCCACCTTTTTTTTTATAGTTACACCTAACAGTCCCATTAAATAGGATTATGCACGAGGATCCGGAACCTTCTTGGCTTAGTGCAGTGGTCGGCAAACTGCGGCCCCTTGAGTGTGGCTCTTCCACAAAATACCACGTGCGGGCGCGCACGTACAGTGCGATTGAAACTTCGTGGCCACACTCAAGTGGCCAAAGAGCCGCATGTGGCTCACGAGCCACAGTTTGCCGACCACTGGCTTAGTGGAAACAATATAGACTTTAGGATCGAGCAGATGTCCATTCCAGTCCTGGCTCTGCCAGTGAGTGATTCGCTGGCTGACCTCGGGGTTTCCTAACCTCTCCGTTAGGCAATCATTCCTTTATCTATAAAGTGAGGTGGCGGCATTCATTGACCTCCTCGCCTTGCTGCGTGGATTAAATAACAACAGGTGTGCAGTTCCCAGGACAGAGCCTTACGTGGAATGAACATTCCAAGGTGGTGGCCAGCTCACGGCTTCGTTGTTGTTGGCAGTGGGGCCCAGAGAGGCAGGTGCTCGGAAGGTGCTGGCGGCTTTCCCTTCAGCTTGAGCGTCAGGGGCTGCCGGAGCCCCGCCCCACCCAGCAGTGCCCGGCAGAGCCGGAGTGGGAGCCTAAACGACTGGGTTTGCCTCATTGGGATGACCTTCATTTTGCCACCAAAACTTGACATCACAACCAGGATTCTGGAATAGTAGCCATTTGCTTCTACTTGTGAGCTCTATTGTGACGAATGAAAGTTGCTGTTTGGTTTCTCCAGTTATGAGCTCATTGAAGCAGCTAATCAAAAAGAAATAGTATCTGTGAAAGTTCCTAACAGAGTAGATAGGGCTTAGGATTGCCTTATGATTGTTAAATACAGGCATACCTCGTTTTATTGCGCTTCACAGAAGTTGCAGGTTTGGTTTTGTGTGTGTGTGTGTGTTTTGTTTGTACACATTGAAGGCAAGGCCCTCTACCAGCAAGAAGGTTACGACTCACTTTATTGTGAGACTTGCTTTATTGAGCTGGTCTGGAACCGAACCTGCAATATCTCAGAGGTCTGCCTGTAAATCAATAATGATGCTGCTTTACAACCTATTACATTGTAATTTTTCTTTTCTTTCCTTTAGCTCTAAAACAAATCCTGAAGTCCATAATTACCAGGTAAGATACTGCTTTTAAAGGTTTTTATGTTATACTTCTTAAAGCTTTTAAACTTTCCACATTGAGCAGTTGCTTATAGACAGATTTTAAAGAAATAAGAACAATATGGTTTTTTGAGAAAAAGTAGAGAGGAGCATCTCCTTCCCCACCCCCCTACCCCCCACTCCCTCCTCCCTACCTGCTTCCTCTTGATCATCTGAGCTGCCTGTTTCTCTTCACCGTGTCAGCTGGCAAGCAGCAGGGACAGATGTTGACAGTCTGGGGGGTCAAACAGACTCTGAGTGGCACTCAAGTGAGGCCACCTCATGTCCAAGTGTGTTCTAGGCCCAGGGGACGCGAGTCCTTTGAGGTGTGCCTCCAGGAAAGGATGTCTGGCCACACGTTTGAGAAATGGTGCGTCCTTCATGACCTTTTTAGATCTTACAGTGTCCACTGGGGTGTCCAGCATACTGAGAAATCCTGCAAGAAAGACATG